ACCCGACAGACTCAGCGACCACGCAACTTGATTAATCGCAGCAATTAAGCAAACAAGTAACCAGCTAACCCGACAGACTCAGCAATTTCGCGAATCGAGCTAGTAATCAGCGCCTATGCGGCTTGAGCTTCGAACTGACGAGCGACCGGATGACCCGACGAGCTCAGCGTTCCCGTAGGGAGAGCCGACAATGTACCGGCGAGCTGCCGAGAGGGGCTTTTGCCAATCTTTAGAGTCGGGCTCGGCGAAAGCTCAGTAGCCGGCGGCTTGTTCATAGGAGAGTTCGGCGGCTCCCCGAAGGAGTAAACAACGGCCCCCGAGCTCGCGACTATGCTAGGCGAGCGGGAGAGCGGCAACCAGCAAACTTCGAAGTGAGTGGTTTTGAAAGACGAAAACCCGGCGCGCTGATCTTGAGACCTTGCTGTGGCCACTAGCCGAGACTACGGCCGTCACTGAGGAGCACGCCTCGCACCTTCCCCAGCCCCACTTCTCGCCCCTTTCGTTTTCCTAGTTCTCCCCACTCAGCAGGTACCTGCCCCCTCCCCTTTTTCTCTCTCTTTTCTGACCGCCCGCAGCCATTGCTACCGTGCTTGACCATGGGAACGATAATGGCGTCTCTGCGCTCCATCCCCCGGACGCTCCCTCTCCTTCTTCTTCCTCCTTTCTACCGTCCCATTCCCCCTCCTTTCCTTTCGAACTCCCTCGATCCGGAGCGCGCATGAGCAGGTCCAACGAGGGAGCCGAGCCTTCTCCTCACTAGCCATGGCTCGGTTGCTAGAATCCCGAATAGCTTTCCTGTTCCCTCCCCCAGTGGCCTCTGGTCTGGGTCGGGAGGTACTCTGTCCCGCGAATGCCGAGCCCTCTCTCTCTCCTTCTCTCTCCCTCTCTTTCTCTCTCTCTCTCTCGAATGAGCGCACGAGCTCAGAGCTCTCCATCTCTCGAGCGCACGGGCGCGAAACTCGTTTCCCCTCTCTCTCTCTCTCTCTCTCTCTCTCTCTCTCTCTCTCTCTCTCTCTCTCTCTCTCTCTCTCTCTCTCT